CATCGGGCTCCCTGCTCGGCGGGGAGTCTGCTTCTCCCTCTCCCGCTCCCCGCTCTTGTGCTCTCTCACTCTCTCTCTCTCTCAAATAAATAAAATCTTTAAAAAAAAAAATGGCCAGTTGGTTGACCCATGATGTTCCTTATGCTTATGAAAGTGAGAAGAAGAAAAGATGGCAGCAGTACATTCCAATATGGTGAACCTGATCCTAGTCTTCCTCTTCCGCATGTCCCTTGGGAAGTTTCCTTTCCTAGAAGTGTCCAGAAACAATTCTTGGCCTAACATCCCTCACGTGTGCTCCCATTTTGTTATTTACCAGTGAAATTAATATTACTCTTTACCCTACTCACATTCTAGATCCAACATGCGTTTTTTCATCAGTGGGTTTGTGTTTGGTTGATTAGTTATTCATGTATAATGCAAGATGACAAGAGCTGTAATACAGAGAAATGATTGTGGCGAATACAGGCGTACAAGCTCTGGGGTTGGCTTTTTTCTTTTCTCTTTTTTGGGAGGGGTGGTGTTGGTGGGTGGGTAGGCAGGTTAGTAAGGCTTTTGGATTACTTACAGATGGTTGAAATTCTTTTCTTACCAAACTGGTGACTGAAGCAAAATTGGGGGAATTAAAGTAAATGCGCCCTTTGCTTTGCATCCCCCAGTCTCCTTGATCTACATCATGAGTCCTTCATGGACTCCTGCATCTGTTCCTACAATCGCTCACATCATTTGACTTCTCTGAACTTGAGTTTCCCCATCTGTATCATGTCCAATGTATCTTTTTCTATGTTGGCTTCTTTCACAGGCTAAATTTTTGCAAAGGGAATCCACCTTATAGATGAGTTCTACCTCAATCTTACCCTCTGGGACTTCCCTTGGAGTAGCCAGAGAGGTCTCTATAGGATGCAAATCCGATCCCTCCAGTGGCTTCCCACTGCACCCAACCCCTTTGTATGGCTTAAAAAACCCTATGTGATCTGATTCTGGCCTGCTTTTCCAATCTATATCATGCCATCATCCCCTACCATTTCTCAAACAAAATGAATGACTTTTGTTCCTGAGGCCCTTTGCATATGCTGTTCATCCTGCTTAGAATGTTCTTTCTCCACTCACTGAATGGACATATCCCTATTACTTTCCAAATCTTAGTTCAAATACCACCTCCTCGCAAATGCCTTTTCTGTTCAACCTCTCTAAAGTCACCTCCTCATCCATTGCTTTCTAGTTCATTGCCGTATTTATTTCCTGCTGGGAGCCCAGCTGAGAGCCTCAATTAGCCTCTATTTCCATCTTTCCATGTGGCAGCATGGGCTTCCTAACAGCACGGAAGCTGGATCTCAAAAGGGAAGAAGAAACACCCAAATCCAAAATGTTCTCCAGCATCCCCAAATCCTTTTCTGGCACGTTATCCTAGTTTCTCTTCTTTGCCCTTCTCACTCTTTGAAATTATTGTGCTAATTTCTGATTCCTTGCTAATTGCTGGCTCCCTCCCCCCATCCATGAGGGTAGAAACCCTGTCTATCTCATTCACTGCACATGCCCAGCACAGAAGAAGTACCCAGTAAACATTTGTTGAATAAGTGAATTTTAAATGTTCAGAAATAAAGAGAAAGAAGCAGTTAAGATGCAGACGAAATGTAATGAAACACACAAACATACACACGTTCACAAAAAATCAGGCTGCAGAGAACTTTTCAGGATGAGAACCATGGCCTGAAGGGTGGAGAGCCCACCTCGCAGTGAGCCAGGCACGAATTGGATCATATTTGCAGCCCACCCGCCTCCTGCTGTTCAGAACCCATCACAGAGTTGACCTGGGAAGGTGGTGACTCAGGCACAGGGACCCAGGACACATAGGACCCTGCAGGGGACCAGGATCAGGACCTGGACAGCTGGACCTTAAGGGGAAGTAGGCTATGCCCAGGCATCATAGGTCCCCAACAGGATGATGTCAGGAGCAATTCCCTGAGGTCCTCCCATAGGAGGGCTTTGGGTGCTTTACTTGAACCCAAGCATGCAGAGGAAGATGATCTTGGTTTAACACAATTCAAATCAGCAGCTACTATGCAAAAAACATTGTGCCACCTGCAGTGGGTGATGGAGGGGTGAGAGGCAGGGACGGTGCCCAAGCAGTGGCTCTTTGACAAGATGGAAGGTGTAAGTGGCAAGGGAAGGAGGCCAGCAGCCCCAAAGTTACAGAAAAGGGAGAAGCAAAAAGGCTTCCAAGAGGGGCCAGCGCTGGAGGTGGCTAGCCAGAAGGGCTTTCCAGAGGCAGGAAAGCCAGGGTATGTTTGGGAATGCCCAGGAGCTCCATTATTAGGCTGGAGGAGGGTGGGGTCTACAAGAAGTGCAAGAAGAGCAATTTATTACCAAAAGTTCCAGCGAAGTCCCTCAGAACAGATCCCAGAAGCCAGGAGCTGGAGTCTTGGACTCAGAGCAGAGAAGAGTGAAGAGCAGTTTCACAGCTTTCCGGAGAAGAAGAGGAAAGGGGGGGATGCTGGGCAAGCAGAGCACAAGCCATCCACCCTGCAGTGATGGAAGAGGAGTCCAAAAACACATCTGGGACATGTTGTGATTGAACGAAGTATAAGTGACTGTTGGAAACTGTGTGTATGAGGGGATTTGGGGTAGCGAGTAATTATAAAAGCAACAGAAGGATGGGCTGAACAAACTGATTCTAGAAATCAATGTGGAGCACACCCGTGCTCACAGCAGCACTATCCACAACAGCCCAAGGGTGGAGACAACCCCGTGTCCATCAACAGATGCATGGATACACAAAATGGGGCACATACATCCAATGGAATATTATGCGTCTATGAAAAGCAATGAAGAAGTGACACAGACTACAGTGTGGATGAACCTTGAGGACGTTATGCGAAGTGGAAGAAGCCAGACACAAAAGGACAAATACGGCATAAGTCCACTGATAGGAGCTACTTAGAATAGTCAGATTCATAGGACACAAAGTAGAATGGGTGTTGCCAAGGTCTGAGGGGTGGGGTGAACAGGAGTTATTGTTAAATGGGTACAGAGTTTCAGTGTGGGATGATTAAAAAGTTCTGGAAATGGATTAAAAATAAGTTCCGGAAATAATAATGATGATAGCACAATAATGTGAATATATTTAACATCACTGAGTTGTACACTTAAAAATGGTTAAATGGTACACTTTGTGTCATGTCTATTTTACCACAACAACAAAAAAAATGAATGTGGAAAAATTAGGAAGTCAAGAATATCCAGTTTAGCTCTGAGAAAGGAAGGTAATAGGAAGATAAGATCCTACGAGATAGTAACACAAATTATAAAACCTCAAGAATTAAAACAGCATGGCGCCGGCACTTGACTACACAGACACACAATGGAACAGATAGAAAGTCCAGAAATAGGCCCACATCATTCAAGACTTTCATGTGTGGGAAAGGTGGCATCTGGAAACAGCAGGGAAACCGTGCTGGGAAGAACTGGAGCCATCAGGGGAAAATGGAGCTGGCTCCTGATCTCATCCTTATACCAGGAAGAACTCCAAATGGAAAAGAAATGTAAATGTGAAACACAACCCCATACCAAAACTAGAAGGAATCAGGGGAGAATTCTTTTTTAACCTCAGAGGGTGAGGACGTATCAGCTGTGACTTTGGGTCACAAGCCCTCTAGGCCTATGTCCTGGGCTTGGTGTGAACGCTATGGGAGTGATACATGCAGAGTACTTGGGATAATGCCCAGCACACACACAAAACTCCGTAAGTGACCACCACTGCCATCCTCCTTGTCAGCATCACCACCATCAAAAAGAATTGAGGACATTTACAAACTGGTAAGAAGTAAGTATCAAGGTCTATTAAATGGAAATAAAAGGCAAGGTAGAGCAGTATGCACATAATATGCTATCCTTGGTTTTAAAAGGGAGGAGTAGACACATGCTCATATATATCTACATGTATGTGTAAGTGTATATTTACACACATATACACAAGAAACATCAAACTGTGGAAAGAGCCAAGATGTCCATCGACAGATGACTGGATAAAGAAGATGTGGTATATATATACAATGGAATATTATGCAGCCATCAAAAGGAATGAGATCTTGCCATTTGCAACGACGTGGATGGAACTGGAGGGTATTATGTTGAGTGAAATAAGTCAAACAGAGAAAGACATGTATCATATGATCTCACTGATATGAGGAATTCTTAATCACAGGAAACAAACTGAGGGTTGCTGGAGTGGGGGGTGGGGTGGGAGGGATGGGGTGACTGGGTGATAGACACTGGGGAGGGTACGTGCTCTGTTAAGCGCTGTGAATTGTGCAGGACTGTTGAGTCTCAGATCTGTACCTCTGAGACAAATAATGCAAGATATGTTAAGAAAAAAAAAGAAGAAGAAGGTAGCAGGAGGGGAAGAATGAAGGGGGGGAACTCGGAGGGGTAGATGAACCATGAGAGATGATGGACTCTGAAAAACAAACTGAGGGTTCTAGAGGTGAGTGGGGTGGGAGGATGGGTTGGCCTGGTGGTGGGTATTGAGGAGGGCACGTTCTGCATGGAGCACTGGGTGTTGTGCACGAACAATGAATCATGGAACACTTCATCTAAAACTAATGATGTAATGTATGGGGATTAACATAAGAATAAAAAATAAATAAATAAATAAATAAATAAAATCTTAAAAAAAAAAAAAAAAAGAAACATCTTTGGTCAGGCCACTGCATGACACAACTCCAGGGGGCACAATTCCATTGTATTCTATGCCAGTGGCATCCCAGGAGCTCAATATAAATGGTGTCTCTTGGAGGTGAGCACCATGGTGGCCCAGCTAACTTGACTGCATGTGGTAACATGTCTCTGGGAACACAAAGAATGGAATA